AGTTGATGATGGCAGCTTAAAAGACTCCTCCCCTGTCACAACTTTTGTCTTGATCACATCTGGATTCTTCTTCTGGCAAGCCGATTTCCTATGGATCTATACAAATTCTGTATGTTTTCTTCAATCAGATAAGAGGAACAGATCACAAGCCACTGTATTAAGACAGTCAGGATAATTATTCCCAGAAGATAATTATAAAGTGGGGAAACTGAAGAATGGCAACATGAAGTAACTTGACCCAGTTCTCCTGGAGAATAGTGGCAGAGCTGGAGAAAGATGACAGCTCTCACCGGCCCCTGTCCTTTTATCCTCCATTCCTGGGGTATCCTTTATGCCATAATGAGGCAGCTCAGGGATGTTGCATTATCAGCCACGGCCATGAGATAAATCCCTGGTCAAACAAAGAAAACCTCACGTGGGCACTGAGAGGGGATGAATCCATACTGCCAGACTCTGAAACCGTTTCGGAGCCCGCAGGCGAGCAGGGGCAGTGGGTACCACTGCCATGAATATTCCTGGTTACTGCTGCATGCCAGCAATGCAAAGTTCTTTACTTACAAATCAAGACCTGTAAATAACAACAAGGAGAAAGGGGTAAGTAATTCTTCCACCCTGCCAAGAACCACCTGTAATTTGACACACTGACGCACCTGAAAGCTGTTTCCGATTTTAGAGGGAGACAGCTGGAAAAGCCTCCAAGTCATTTTTCTCTGCTCTAACTTGCTCGCCACAAAGAGGAACGAGGATATTATGCAGTATTGCAGAATCAATAGTTATTGTGGAAACTATTGGTTTGATGTCAAGGGCAATTAGCTGCAAGTGGAATTAGCACATACCCCGTGTGGGAAGACGTGTTCTTCCCTAGATGGGAAAGATGTTGGCTACAAAGGGCCTCGACATAAGTGTGCACAGAAACTTTGTAATTAGCATCAATTTCCCAATGCTGAAAAACCCAACACCAGCTGCTTCTCTCGGTACACAAGAGTCTGCAGCAACGACCTGATCTGTCCTGTAGATGGGACAAACCAAGAGCAAACAAACCTGCAGACCAGACTGACCCTTTGCATTTGGATTTCACACCTAAGAAAGGCTATTCTTGGCCAACCCAACTACTCACCCCATGTCAGAGAACCATGCTGGCTGAGGTCAACTCAAAACACCATCTTATCCCTACACCTTCCCACTATTGCCCTGACTTGTGCCAACAGAAATTTATTCCATGTTGCAGCTAGGACTTAGTGCATTTCATGGAGAAATCTATGCTATGCCTGGTTTGGCTACTGAGAAAGAGCTCAACGCTTGAGATTAAGTCCTTTAAGTATTAAGTACTTTAGAGAAGATAAGTATAGGTGCAGGAGTGAGGAACATGCAAAGCTTGTCATACTAAAGGAAACTGTCTGCATAAATTTTATTAAAGATGGAAAAGAAGTAAGACAAAGGAGCTAACTTTCAGGACCTCCATGTAAGGTGGTGTAAAACTGAATGTTTTTGCAGCAGCTTAATCCACACTTTGAATCTCATCCTGGGAGCAGCCAGCACTGAAGAAGACCTTGCAGAGGCCAGGAGGGTGAGAGGCCAGGGCAGGAGGCAGCCCCATGGCTACGCCGGCTCTCCATGCATACCACTTCTGTTTCTCCTCCAGACCTCAACTCGCCTGCAAAGCCAACCACCCCCACCTCGCATTCACAAAAGCGGTTCCTCAGTTCGGCAAGGATCTGGCACCCGTCACCACCGTCACTGAGCAACACGGCACAAACATCACCACCAAGAAAGGCTCCTGCAACACTGCAGGCTGAAGGCAGCTTCCTTCCTGTCCCCGGCTGGAGGCTGCCTGCCCTGTGGAAGACCTGTCCACCCCTATCTACTGCTGAAACCTCCACATCAGCAGATCAACCGATTCTTTCCATAAAAGGCTTTCAGAGCCAAAGAGGACTTTTTCTTCTAGCTTATTAATGCAAGTAAGATGCACCGAGTCGCTTTGCAGCCTACGATCTGCATGCGATTGCTGAAGTCCCTTTGAAATACAATAACCGGTACAGTAAACCTTGGCTCATGCGTCATCTTTTGTGCTGTGGTGCATAAACCCTTGGTGGCATTTGGTGGGCAGCACACCTCAAAGATGTTCACGTAAACTGCATTGACCCCTGAAAGGAGGACAGCTGCCCCGATGCACACTCGTGCATCCGAGGTGACAATGTTGGCTGGTCAGAGACAGCATTTAGGTGAGACCGGAGGGGTACAACAGAGTTCCTTGGACCTACAGAACAACATGCCCTCACTGGGATAACTTGTGCAAATAATCTCATTTCCACATACCCAGCAGTATGCTGTGAAATGCACCTGCAACAGTTCCTCAGGATAGTTCTTCTGTTATTTTTTATTTTATTCTCGGATCAGCTTTGCATCCGTTTTGCTAAAGTGAGGCACTATTGTGGTGGAAATGGAAAAAACTACTCACGGTTGTAGAAAAACAGAGACAACTCAGCTGGGCTGATCACCCACATCCCACAAGACTCTTGTAACTGAAATCTGTGGAAATCCCAACGTACCAACACTCAGTGTCTACACCAAAACGCTGATGCCTTTGTGCTTTGCACTTCTTTTGCAAAAATAACCTTAGCTTTCCGGGGAGGTCCCGAAGCGGTGGCTAATACCGATGTGAACGTACTGACGGTGCCATCCAGAGGTACTTGGGTGTAGCACACAGCTCTGTCTCAACAAGAACTACCGTACAAGTGAAAAAGAGGACCTATGCATCATCTTATACATCAAACTTTAAACTAAACCCACCACAAAATAATTACATTTTCTGCTATTTTTAATTTATCTTGCCCATCAGCTTTCATCCACTCGTTGTTTTCCATCTCCCTCAATACTCACTGTGGGTTTTAATTTTCCGTGTATACTAAATCAGCCATTCTTAAAAATATATACATCTCTGACCTCTCTTGGCAAACAAGAGCTATGTTATTTTACTCACAATTGCTAACAACAGGACTGGCACCGCATGCTCAATGTAGAGACACTCCTCTGTATGTCACAGCCATGCAATAGCGTATCGCTTCCGATAACAGCAACCACACACTGAAACAGAAAACGTAACAGTGGAAAACAATCTTTTTTTCCCCCTCTAGAACTGCTGATGGCTCCCTTTCAGCTGTGAAACCATGACTCAAACTTGATAGAAGAAAATGCTTTTCCAGCGTATTATTATACATATTTATATGTGTGTGTGTGTATATATACAGTTTAGGTCAGCTGCCGGAAGAGTTTGGATGTAGCATCACCTCTGGCATATTTTATGTAGGGCAAAGTATGCCAGAGAAGATATTTGTTCAGTAGCAAAGGTCTAATTTACGTTTGTGTGCAGAGATACCTCCTTCACTGACACCCACATCTGTGTGACATTAAGATGTGGATTCACAAAGTGAATCCTGTTAATATCAGAGTAAAATCAATGTTGAATCCTTATTTTCTCCTTTAGGAAATGAATGGAATTACATAGATCACAGACAAATATTCCCAACAGCACAAACTATATACTTACATTTTTACTCTTTGGGATTTTTTGAGCTTTATTCAGAGAGATAACTGATTTTGAGATGTATTACCTTAAATTAAGTTGCAAAAATACACAGAATACACTTGTATCTGCCTTTTTTTCCTCAGAAATCATCACTTGCCGGTCCATTACAATTAAGGCACTGGGTATTATTTTATCACCTAACACAAACTAAAAGGAAAATGGAGAAACAGATCGACTTGAAAACTAATAAAGTAACTTTTCAGAGAGCTTCTGGCAAGCATCATTCCCACTTGTTGCATCCTTCCCAAAAAAAGTATCCTTCTTTTACAGTCTCGGTATTTAAAAATCAAGAAAAAACGTAAAAATAGAAATTATGTCAAATGACAGATGGTGTTGCTGAACCATGCCTACTACAAAGAGGCATGGTTATGGTTAAGAGGAGATGGTTAAGAGGAAATTTTGAGCATTACGGAATCCAAATGTCAAATGTAAGGACTGATGTCTGCGCTGCACTTGGAGAGTCACCTTGAGCTGATCTCAAACTTAACCTGGTCTGAGCACCAGATGACGCCTTCATTTTCCATCAGTCAACCCTGGACCATGCCCTGTTTATAACTGCGCCCAGGTCTCCTATTAGCAGCTGCAGGGAGGTAGCTCTTGGGTCAATGAAAGCACAGATCATGGAGAGACCTGCATGGAGAAGGGTCTGAAAGGTCGTCTGAAAGAGATGAGTGAGCCTGCAGAAGCCTGCACTTTGGTAAGACGAGAAGTGGAGAAATAACTCTCACATTTCAGACATCTCAGTGCTGAATACATGTCTCGAGGAAATAGCAGACATATGGAGTCCTTCATAAAAATGTGAGATAGGACCCACAGAGATCACCGAGTCGACAGTCTAATTTTATAATCTTAACCCTGCTAGAAGTTTCAGACATGTCTTATATCAAATGTACAACACTTTCACGCAGCAGCAAAAAAAATAAGCAAAACCCAAGAAACACACCAGTTCTATGCACTGTGATGAAAAAATTATAGCAGTGATTTAACAGAAAATATTTCTTTAAAAGATCAAAGACAGTATGTCTTCCTCTTCCTGCCACTTTCATACACACACAGCGGTTTCCCAAACTGTATTTTGCAAATGAAAATGTCACCATCCACCCAAGCCTAACTGCTGCAAAAGGAAGTGTTTGTTCAGACAACAAATGCCAAGTGTACATTGACAGTAAATTTGTGCCACCAATGGGAAAAGATCTGGAAAAGGCATGGAAAAAATCTAGTCTTGTGCATTCGCTTTGAATGTGTACCAGGTTCCAAACTGTAACTCCTTTTCTTTCAGAAATTAATGTGTTGTAAGGAAGCTGGAGCGCAGTGCGGTTTGGCAGAAAGGTAAATATAAAAATCACTACCTACGGTTATTGCCCCTCTTTCCGAGATTGCCCCATGGAGTGCAGGCTGTAGGGTGTGCACTGACCTGTACTTCCCTGTCCGCACTTGCAGAGCTCTCATACCGCACCGCTGAGCACCTCCGACATCATTCACAATATCATCTCCAATCATGAGGGCCTGTCAAAGCAATGAAATACAGAAAAACTGGCGTCAAGTGAATTTTATTTCTGCCATACGTCACACTCCTTTGACATAACAAACAGCTTGATTTGATGTTTAATACTGCCATCAGACAAATTAAACAAGATAATATTGTCATCGTATTGATTAAAAGTCATCCTACCTTGAATGTAATTCATGCTATAGTTCCTCGAGCAATGCACTAGAGCAGTACGCATCTGTACAATTTGTAATCAATCACAAAAATCAAAGGGATTCAGCACATAGTTCGAAGAAAATGTTGAATTTTATGAAGTTAGGCCTATTCTGTTCCTAACGATCCATTTATGTTATGCTGCAAGCAGTTTCAATTAAGCTTAACTTTTTAAACATTTCCTTAAAACTGGTATTCTAAAAGCTAGTCAAAAGCTTAAGCTTGTGATCACTGAGATGTGTAACTTCGCAGAGCTTGATCCCAACCCATTCTCAGGTTGATAGAGAAATTTGGAAAATCACTGTAAAATTTAATTTATTTGTTTTTGCACAGTGTGACACAACACGTCCAGGCCTAGCACGGTTTGCATTATGGCCAGCTTAAGTCTACGCAAATATTAATAAACTCAGTTGAGTAGATTACCAAAAAAAGGCAATCGAGAAAAGACCTTCTGGTTGTGCCAAGACTTGTCTGAGTGTCTGATGAAAACATGTAGCATGGATGCTGCCTTCTTGTCCTTGTAAAGGGAAGTTTATCAACCAAGGGGTCTCTTTCATCAACAACCATGTCTACAAAATTTTGAGTGCTTATTATCATCCTGTATTAAAAACTACTACATTTATTTTAGTCTTCAAATTTAAAAAGGGTTGGAGGGGGTTATTTTATAGTTTCAACAAAACCCAGCATATAGATAAAACAGGAATCTTCAATTAATAAACAAAAAATCGTCTTTCAACCTTCCAAAAGCATTCTGGATTACTCTGAAGCGAACAGAGGCAGCACTTAAAACTGGGGAAATACATCAGCTTTGAAAATATGTCATCTAGTTTATCTATCCGACTTTAAAGTGTGCTTTTTGCATCTTTTGTATCAAAGTTGAATTTTATCTAAAGTACATTAATTAGTTGCATCTTTAACCATTTGATCTTCATCTTGTCGACTCAGGCTCCTGCTTCATAAACGTAACTGCCAGGCTTTCACAACGATGGCACCTTCCAGCTCTAGAAATTCCTCCCTGAATTTCCATTCCTTCCATGTACTTCGGATTATTTTCATACCTGCACGTCAGATACATGGAGTCACTATGCAAAGTGTTTCTTTCCTTACTAACAGAATTGCTCTGTGTGGTTTGAGCTTTTTCTAAGGTCTGTCATGATGGGTCTCACGTACGGGGCTTGGGAAGTTAAAAGCCAGGTTTATAAAGGGGACCAGGGTTGCCTTAGATGGTGGCTGGGTTACTGAGAACAGCACCAAGGGGAACTCCGCTGGGCACCCACAGAAAGCCAATCCAGCATTTTTCCATCCGCAGAGAACTGATAAATAGGCCCTTGTCAGAGAGGTCATGGGAACGACGCGCACATGGCAGAAGTGAGGATCGGCTTCTCCAGAGGCAGCAATCTAAAGGGAATGCTCAGCCTTTTTGTACAGCTGGCTGCAGTTTTAAGGACAAAAACATCTAGAAAGTCTGTATTGCAGGCACCATTCCAGTTACCATTTCTGCCTGATATAAAATCCTCTTCTTCCTTTGCCTTCACATGGAAGCACCTCTTTTTAACATACCATGCAACCATACAAGAGCCAGTTCATCTTCTGAGTCACCCACACTTCAGTTCCCACTTGGCAAGCAGTCTGCTGGGCAGGACTAAATCATACATATTGAACATACTGAAGAGGTCTAAAAATGCTAAAGCTCCAGAGCTATTTTCATTAATCATCTAATTACAACAGAATCTTCTCCCACTTATTACATAGCACATAAAGGAAATCTCAGGATTTACCTAAAGCTGCAAGATTTTCTGAGAGCATTCATAAACCAAACTGAGCTACAAACACGTGTATCTGGAACAGCTTCAGCTGATAAAAACTAAATCTTCTTTTGAGTAACACATCAGGTGTGGTGTGCAAGATTATATACAGTAGTTACCAGCCCAGTCTATCTTCCATGTTGTTTTTTAATACTGTTCACGTGAAGGGTGATCATCATCCCTCAGATGATGGGATGTAATAGGATGCCCTCTCAAGCCAAGGCTCAGTTGTCTGGTACCACATTGAAGTAGTTTATTTTGAAATAGTTTATATATGCCCACCCCTGCTTCATTCTGCCTAGAAGAGTCACCGCTGTGGCTAGGCTTTGAGAGCTGCTTTAAGGAGCAGAGTGACATAAGGACTTGTGACAAAGGGGTCAGAGCTGGGGCAAACATGCCCATAGTGAAGGAGCAGTAGCTGGCTTTGGGACAGGCTGCTCTGCCTTTCCAGGTCTCTCCTCACAAACCGTTTCAAAGCCACCAGACAATGAAGGGCTCAGTCTTTTCCATTCTTTCATTATTGAATCACTTTCGTTATCCACTCTGCTCATGAAGACGTGTGTGTTCCTAATAAGATGCCTTCCCCTGTAGACAGTTCACCTTACCACTCCTCCAAACAAGCAATCCAGCACGAAATGGGGAGAAAATGATGGGTTAATTTGAAGTAATTAGTAAATAACGCATGTATACACAGATGATGAAAACGGAATAATCCCACTGTTACATGCAGAGCTGCGAAGAATCTGGCAACACTGCTCCCAGCCAACCACCATTACCAATTTCCCCCAAGCTATTCTGAGATATTTAATCATTCTCAACCACTGGCTTTAATAGTTTATAATCCCCTCTTCTTATAAAATTTCTTCCAACACCTCCCCAAGGGGGACAGGGAACAGCTGCGGGGGGGACCCCAGAGAGTCCACAGGGGAGACCCCAGGAGCAGACCTGCCCTCCGCCACCCGCACGCCCTTGCTCAGCCTGAACCCAGACATTCACGATGAGATTTCTGAAGTAAAGACAATTTCAGCCCTGGGTTCTCAAAACCCTAAAAATTAATTTCCACTGAAAACAGAAAAGGGCAAAGCAGGTCAGCCCACCAAGCACCCGTTTGCTCACCGGGGCTGTATTTTACCCTGTCCAAGCAAGTTTTCCTGCAAGACACCCGGCAGCTCAAGTGCAGCTGCAGATGAGCAGCGATGCCTGTCCAGGCCAGCTTGTGGCATACGCATACAAAAATGTACTCCAGCCCCTGGGGATTTCACAGATTTACTATCGGTGAAGGGCAATAATCACTAAAGGAGGAGCAATTATTCCCAAATCATTTAGGATTTAAAAAATCATTGGAAAGAAGATAGAGGTCAAAAGGTGTGCTGTCAAGGGAAATAAAAAAACTCTACCTGTCAAACCTGGGTTTAACTTCCTCTCTGACTGCAATATGGTAAGAAGAGAGAGAAAGATATAAAACTGAAAGGTCACATACCCACTGAAAGCAAGAATTAAAAGATCCCCATTCATGTTCACATTTTACACAGGGATCACACCATTAATCTATTCAATTATTCTGCAGAAGTTAGTTTTTCTAGATCGGCTAAAAATCTACTAAAAAGAAGGACAAAAATGCAGTGAGACAGTCTCTCTGATTTTAAGACAAATCGTCAAAGAATTAAGATGGGTGTAATTTATATTTTCCCAAACCATACAGCTGGTGAGAGATGGTGTGTGTGGTTGTACACCAGCAGTAAACAAAGCACACGCGTCCCAAAGTTGACCAAAGGCACTGCTCTTGAAGAGTCCCTGTCAAACTCAACCCAGATCGGCAGCGATAACGGAGGAGATGAACATGACCTCCAAGAATTTAGGGGTGGGAAGGCACAATATAACCCCCACTGGACAAACATCTGTGGCACAGAGATCACCATCATGGTCAGCAATCTTACTGGTGTTGTCTGGGCCACAGACTCAGAGCTGAATGGAAGTGGGGACTGACTCCTCTTACCCACAGAAGTAGCCAACACTAATAAGCCTTCAGAGGTGCTCTTAGGGTGGTGAATGGGAACCTTAGGTATTTTTTGCCCACAAACAGACTTTTAGTATTCACTAAAATCACAGAAAAAAATGTCTGATCAAAAAAGACATCACAGAGTAAGAAAATGAATGAGGTAGAAAGAAAAAAATATTCTGTATTATCCAGCTATGCTTGTGTTGCAACGTATTTACTAGGACAAGCTCAGGTATGGTACTTTGGAGACTGAAGTCTATGCAGAAGGCAAACGGAGAGATGCAGAGAAGGAAGTGTGCTAACTTCAAGAGAACATTTATCACAATGAATGCTTCTAGAGTAAACATATTTATGCCCAAACGGATTTTTGCAATAGGCTTAATAACCTTAATCAAGCTAAATGTGGGAGAGACATAAGGAAATAAAGCTTATACACAAAACCTTGATCAATGTATTAAACCCCTTTACACAAGAAATACAATGCATTCACTTTTGTCCCTCTTCTCCTTGGCTCAACTGGTAATCTCCTAGGCTTCAGGATCACATATTACTGTTAATTATGTTTCTGCCTTGGAACTACTAGCTGTGCAAACATCAAACACACAAAGGGCATCACATGTGGCCTCTGATCTGGGAGAAAGTGTACAACAAGGCAGGTGAAACAAAGAAATACATTAAACCTCCAGGGCAGCTTTCCAAAGCCTGCAGGGTCAGGCAGGTTTCAATAAGCTTTCAGCAGGACTCAAAGCTTGAAACTTCACTCGGCCACTTAATTCTTCTTTCCAAGGTGGAAAATCTTCCCCTGTCGTGGCCGGTGAGCAGGGAGGGGATGCTGGCACGGCGGCAGGTCCCCCGTGCCACTCTGGAGGTGACCTCCCTCTGCTCTTATGTGCCACTAACTCCCACCTGAGACTTGCAGGTGGCGCAAATGGGAATTGGTTAACTACCAGTAGTTATGCACTCTAGTATGACCTGCCATAACTCCCATTAAAAGCAGACAATTTGCTACAGAGAGAACTTTTTATGATTATATAAAACTACCGGAACCTTAACATTATTTAGGTTTTATTGTAAAGCTGTAAAAATCATCCACTGTTACAGCTGCCTTAAAACATATGAATTAGGCATTTCAGAAACCTTTAAGATGTGTTATTCTTTGTCATATTACTGAACCGTAAGATAGGTCTGGTTACCTCAAAGAGGTTTAAATTTCCAATCTATTAAAGTAATACTGGCAATCTGTTATTTCTAGGCCATTGAGGAAAGGTTAAAATGAAAATTGGACTTTGGGGAGTTCCTCCTATTCTAAGTGCAGGTTGAAAACATCTCAGCAGCAGAAGGCAAAGTCAGGATCTCGGTAAGAAGCAGTTATCAAGGGAAACGACTGGTGATAACTTTATTGATTAAAGCAGCTTGAGAAATTTAAGATTTGCCACTGTCTAGAATTACCTTTTTAATAAAGCTGTCTCACCACACTATTTTTCATTAGAAGTCAGGTGAAAGAAAATTGTAATATGTTTTCAAAAGCAGAGCTCATCTAAAATAGTTTAATGACGGTATGGATTAAATGCATTCCACAGGTGGAATAAATTATTGGCAAACATTTTATAAAAGTAAAGGCAAATAAAACCAGTCTTTGTCACGTCATTACAAATGCAGAGAAGTATAGCTCATTCAGGAGACAGGTTAAAATGTAATACAGTACATTACCAAGGAATTTATTGAACTGAATATACTGAGTTTTTATCATTATGTGTGACGAACTACAACAACCTGGAAATCCTTCTCAAAAGAACATTAAAGTTGCAAGGTCAGGCACTCAAAAGTAAGGAAAAGATGTTAGAATCAAGGCAGTTTGTTGTATTTTGTTCCTGCTACACATGTGCATCATGAGCCAGGTTTTAACTCCAGCAGCATGGATTATTTTTTCCGTAGCTGAAAGCACAGAGTGACTGCTGCCATCATGCAGTGGTGTCTGCTGTGCTCCTCCTTGGTTAGGCATATACTCCCTTCATCTCAAATCTCTCTGAATCTCTCTGAATACAAAAAATTACCTATAGACAGGCATATTATTACAACAAACTGATGGCATTTAACTCTAGAAACTATATGGAAAAAAAATATCTCTCTCAAAATACAAAGTTAGTCACTACTAGCACTATAGCACTGAGGCAAACAGCAGAGAACGAAAAAATAATCTCTGCTGGGGAATGTTACTGCTTTCTGTACCCAAAACAAATCCTCCTGAAGTGATGGGAACCCCTCACTGAGGCTCACCCTATGGGACTATTTTTACCAGCCTGGTGATGCATTAAATCAAATTTGTTTCCTGAGGCAAAGTTTTTGAGACGGGCGCTCTGGTGTCCTGTCGCTTCCCTGTAATGATACCCTCTCTCGATGCCACGGGCTGACGTGGTCCTGGCATACTGTGAGGTGGACAAAACAGGGTCTGAGGACAACCACACCACCCTGCCTATGGAAGAGGGCAAGCAATGCCACTACACAGGGTCACAAAGACAGAAAACTCAAAAATATCATCTTCCCTCCTACTCCTGCACACCAATTGTTTCTGATACAAGCAGAAAGGAAACACAAACCTTCATGCATCTGATTTACACAAACAGATTCCAAAGGTTGAGCTCTGTGGGTTCTGGGTTTTTGTTTTGCTCTTTTTTCCAGCTACTTTTTCTTCAAATGCCACTCTGTGACTGAAATGGATTTTTTGGTTTGTTGGTTGGATGAACGGATTGAGTAATTGCCGTGGCTGTAACTGAGATATTATGTTCAGGCTGAGCTATCTTGTTACTGGGAAGATATCAACAAGATGAAGGGAGTACAGAAAAGAGCACCACAGCGGGTTAGGATGCAGAGGGATCGAATCACAAGGGAAGCTGCTGGGAGCTAAACACACAGTTTTAGTAAGAGCCAACTACTGTAATGATAACAAGTCTAGAGATAATTGGAAGGAGAAAATATCCAAGAAGGCAAGCAGTTATTTTTGTTGTCACCTGGAGTAAAACTAGAAATAAGGAGATGCAGTTTAAAAGGGAAGTATCCCAATGAATCTCAGAAAAAGGTGCCTGCCCACAAGACCTACTTGACTCTGAACACTGTCCCTAGGGTACTTACAGAAGCCCAGTTGTTTGGCTGAAAACTACTCTGGACAAAAGATTAATAAATGTGGAGCAGGGAACACTCCTGCACAGGTAAGGAGATGGATTAGATGGCCTACTAGGTCTTTTCCATCTCCCCACTCTATAATAAAGTAAAACCCAAGCACATACTGAATTACAGGGTCATAATTTCATCTTCAGGCTCCAGGGACCTACAAGCCACCCAAACTTCACTCCTGTTGTTTATAATGTCACCAAAACCTCCTGATGGAATTACTATGTTGTAATTCACTGCCGTCTGTGAGTCATCTCATACTCATCCTTATGTCCTGTGTGACATAACAACAAATCAATAAAGAGGATCTGGGCACAACTACAGAGAGGGGAAAAAATGGGCTGTACTAAGTAAGCAGGGAGCATCACACATTCAGTGTGTTTCTGGAAAGCATGATGAATCCCGTAAGACAGGAGGAGTTTTTGGGTCAGTCAGTGCTTCTCGTTCACCTAAATTAGAAAATATTTTATTTCTGCCTTTCCCTTTTACTAAAAAAAAAAAAAAAAAAAAGGCAGCCAGTGTGACATCAAAGGAAATAAATAACATTTTGGCTGCAATTCCACTATGCTGCAGCCTCCAGTCACCAAGTGGACTGCCAGGCATTGGGGCACCTCTCATCTTGTGAGGCACAAGATCTTCCCTAATTCCTTGGGAAACCTAACTTTTCTTCTTTTGTATTATTTTCTTTAGCCGCCAAATAAACGAATTTCACAACAGACATGCATGTTCTTTTGAACTATATGGTTTGGGAGAAAGGTGAATAAGAAAGTACAACACAAGAGTACAAGTAGAAGGAGAAACCCCAGTAGAGAATGGAGGGATGGAAAACTACATTAGGTAGAGGTATGGAGGGCACAGGTCAGAGCAAAGAGAGACAGACACAGGGAATGAAAACAAAAATAGCAGCCAGTCAGAAAGAACCCTCAAAAAAGCAGAGAAAATAATGTCATGCCTTTCAGGAGGACAGGAAGTAAACAGGGCAGAAGAAATTCAACAGGTCCCCACCTGCCAGCATTTACCCTCTTGGCTGTCAGTTCTCTTTTGTCTACTTCACTTATTTGATCGAATGGGCAAACATGGGCTTTTATCTCTCCGAAGCATTTTTCAACAATTTTTCTTTTTCTTTTTTTCTTTTTTTTTTTTTCGTAATTCATAGGAAGATCCTGAATATAGATATTTCTCTGCACCATGTATATCCTCCAAAAGTTTACCAAGTCCTCCTGGCCATATTCCCTTCAACCTCTTCTATAACTTTCCGTGAAAGACAGCAAACTAGAAAAAAAATGCATCAATGGGCATAACTATATGGCACAGCCAGTCATCACGGCATCAGAAATCTTACCTGTTGTGCTGGAACTCCCATTTCTGCTAAGGCCGACTCAAAAAACATTTTTGCTGGTTTTCCCACTACTTCAGCTTGAACATCACAAGCATACTGGAAAAAAAAGACGAGAGAGACACACACGAAGGGTGTTGATCAGAAAAGGATTTGTTCAACTCCGTAACTCCAGTCAATTGTATAAAAGTATGTGAGTATTGATTTTTGCCTTTAAATAACACAATGGATTAGGGAATGAAAGTGAATATCAGAGAATTTGGATAACAGAAGAGTTTAATGATCTCTGTCAGAGAGAAAGTCCTCCTGAAATATCTCAAGTTACACACCTTTTACAATCTCCATCACAAGAGCAGTCTTCAGATTCAGTTCCAGTATTGCTCATTTTTGTAAGAGCAGCATTCTTAAAGAAATAGCAAATATTCTTCATATGAAATGATCAAAAGTACTGGAGGGCCTTAGAAGATGTAGAGGGTTTCTCCAACCACCTGGCACATTTTTAATGATTCAAGTGATCTGCCAGATTTGAAAAGTTTTATTTTCCTGCAACTAAGTATCAGCACTATGCTGAAAAAGGTGTTTCTAGCTTGTTCCTAGACAACTAGAAGCCTGAACTTTTCCGGGAGGCGAAAACTCTCCCCAAAACTCACGTAGATACAAATCAACATGGTGCAACCATACATTATACCCACTATCTTCTGTGCTGCATAGTACCCTACTTTGCTTTATTCTCTGCATTCACTATGTATATCTCTTTCATCTCTCTGCAAGCCTATAAAAGGGAGAATAATGATTCCCTCCTTCTCTCACCCTTAGGTTGGCTTATCAATTGGGTTCCAGTTCTGCACAGACTTAATTAGGCTTAAAAACGGGATTGCACTTAAGTATCTTGCTGAATAAGGGCCTTTTACTGTAAACTGTTAAGGGCAAGGGTTGTATTAACAATGCTACACCAAACATAAAACGGACCTTCAGTTTTTCTTGGGTATCTTGCAGACAATAGTCTGTGTTTTTCTTTTCTGGCTCCTTCTTTCAAGGGCCTCCCTTCCAATAAAGGTACCGCAATGGTAAAAGTTCACATTTTAAATAAAATAATAATAAAAAAAAAGAACTAAGCCAGAAAACAAATGAATCCACCCGTCTTTAGAATGCAGCAAATGAGTTTCACTCTGTGGAAACTTCCTCCACCAAGGTGAGTAATTACAGAAGATGACCCATATTTATACCAGTTACTCTTTTAACCAGGTGCACCGAGCAAGTAAGCATAATGCAAGCTATAAAATACCTCTAATGCCTTCATATATGCTCCAACATCAAGTTTCAGACCATCGGTTTCTTTATAGTAGCGTCTGGAAATGAAAGTGATAAAGTTCCAATGAAATGAAAATGTTGGCAGTTAAATACAAAGAAACTACATTTTATTATTTCTGTGCCTATACAGATGTCCATATGGCTGCAACAAAAAGTCCAAGTCATCAGAAACTGTGGAGCCTTAATTTAACACCAGGAATTAAGTAAAGGACAGGCTCAGTACCATGCAATGCTTGGGGAAAAGATCTCAGACCAGACGTCCATCTGGCATCTGGGACACCACTCCACTGGTTCAAAGCGATTTCAACTAGCTTATATCACAGACAAACTTGGCCTGTATTTTATTGCACAGAGTACTAGCTGCTCACAAAGGACAGCAGTTACATTGCTCTTCCTTTAATCAGTGCGGAGACCCCTTGGCAGGTACAAGATGAGGGCTGGCACCAACCAGCAGCTGTAATACCTTCAGTACATCTGGAAGGGGATCCCAAACAGTTGACCATCATTGATTGCTACCAGTCTCCCACATGATGAAAGCCAGAGCACTCTTTATCGGGCCTAAGAAAGCCCTCCAAGATAAATTTTGTTCCTTCTAAAAATGTTCCTATTGCCACGAAGCTCATAAAACTAGTTAGCATCTTTACAGTGTTTTTTCTGGAATAGCAATTCACATTAACACAGGTCTTCCAAGCTCTCCTGACCAGAGCAAAGACAGGTTTCTATATGACAGGAAAAAAAGGTAGGATGAGCAGTCAGTTAAGATTTTATGCCTTATCCTTCTGCCATTTTCGATTATTCAGCACAGCCTCCCTTTAAAATGACCACTTGACCTTTGCTAGAACAGCCATTAACCTTCTATAGTCTAGCGTAAACAGCTTAATTTTCTGACAGTGGCATGACAGAAGAAATTACAAAGCCAATTCCCACTCTCAGCCCAAAACAGATGCTAAATGTAAATCACTCCATTTTCAGGAGGAGGGCATTCTGCTTCAGTGACTCTGACACTTTCGTTTTCTATAGAATGAACTAAAACTTCAACCAAAATCAACCTACTTGCCCAAGGTAGGTATCTTGTTAAGGTCCACCCAATTACACTGGTTCTGCGGGTTAAAAACGAAGCTGGCTTGTGGCTGGGTTTTGTATACAGCCCTCTGCATCAACAAGGCTTCTCTGGTAAGGTGAACAATTCATCCAATTTATAATCTCCCTTCTTTGAGTCAGAGAACTTACCTACCAGGGTAACTCATTCAGAGTTCACGTTTGCATTACGTAAACGATCAGTCATTAAAAATATAGACTTATGGTGAAAATTGAGCTCAGAATATCCAAAAATCTGTATTTTTAAATGAAAAATAACATTTAAAAAAAATAACAGTGGGTCTGTTTTAGAGCTGTCTACATCAATGAATGACCAAATAAATAAATGCTTTTATATGCACAGGGCACAAAGGCATTTTTGCATTGATCACATTACAAATCTTAAACAAAGGTTCATTCTATATTTCATTTCAAAAGATGGCATGACATATGTCCTGGTTTGACTAAAACAGGGCT